GTCAATTATTATTTTACACCAACAACAAAGATAAATTGTTAGCTTTTTTGGTGGCAAACTGTAAACTAAATATAAATTGAGCTTTTTATTAAACTACAAATTATCTACGTTAATGAAAAAAAAAATCATTAGAACGAAAAACTGAAACAAGCACTTTCTGTAGTTGGCTAATTTTTCTCTTAAATTTTGTAATTTTCCTTATTTTAAAACTTTGCTTATTTTAAAAACTAGAGTGTTCTGGTGAACTTGAATAGTCTAATTATGTATGATAAGGTGCTTTGGCCATTTTTTTTTGTTAAAAAGTGTTTTATGAGTATGTAATTGATATGAAACCGAAATATCCTCTCTAATTTCAATTCTTTCTATATTATTAATCTCTGTGTTTTTTTGCTTTGAGATATTGTCTAAATATTTCCCGTGCAATGAAAGGTGCTTTAAAAAGTAGAAATTTGGTCCTTTTTAAGGAAATATCCAGCCTATTTCGAAAAAGCTTGGCAGTGACTTTAAATGGAGAGAAGGATTTTACCCAAGCGTTTAGCAATCTGGTAGAGCAAAAAACGAAAATGTTAGTGTGTAGATTTATTTAACTTATTATTGACTAAATAATACTTTTAAAACGTTACAGTAACATTATAGGGTTATGTGTTTCAGTCGTACAAATTTCTTCTGCAACATTGTTATAACAATAAACTATCATAGACTTTTAATTTTAATTCTGAGACAATGTGACTTTGCTATCTGGGTGGTAGCTAAAACGATTAAAATTTAAACAATTTATAAAAATCATTCTTTTAAAAAGTATCACAACATCTTAGAGTTTCAGTTATACTAAGAATATACATTTTAAAACCGTGCAAAATCTTGCGTAGTGTATTAATTGTTTCATAATAATGATATATATGATTTACAGTGCTATCAATTTACGTGATATTTTGCACGAAAAAACTATGCAGATACTTGAATCATTCATAATTAACATTTTTACCGATCTATTTACATTCATTTATGTCAAAAAAATGCAATCCTTGGTTTATAACTGTCTGTTGCTACTTAGTCCTATTTAAAATAATTCCTTCAGGCGAATTTAACACTAACATTTTCAATGGACAACATTTCAGAAACGTCATGCCGTGAATTGACTAACACCATTTATAAACTTATTACTAATTAATATTGGAATACTTTTAATAATCATTAAAATAAGTTTAAGGTTAGCATAACATTTAAAGTTTTCTTATAATAAAATACTTTAATTTTAAAAGTAATGAAATTTTTAAATAGATTTGATAAAGGACATGAGTATCTTTAGATAAGCATTTGTACATAACAGTGATATAGTGTATTATAAAATTTATCACACATATTATATTACTTTATTATTTTCCAATGAAAACGTTTGATAATGAGTTCGAACAACAGTTTTCTTTCATCAACTATAGCCTAAATTATATAATAACTGTAGGAAACAGACTTTCCATAGTACTTAAATATAGATAATGCTTTTGAACTATTTACAAAAATTTGAGCAAATGAGAACGCCTTCTGTAACAAGGAACATAATAAATTTTAGAGATTTCTAAACTGCAAAAAATTCCGGATCAAATTCCGGGGGAAAAAATACTGGCATCTTGAGTGCAACATCCGAAAAAATCCATTTAACCGCAAAATTCAATTTTATACCATACAGAAATATTTATTTAATTTTAATGATATTACCGTAAATATTATTGAATAAAAATTACTGTTTATAAAATTTTTTGTTCCGTAAAATTTAACGGCAAAAATCAATCTGAGTGCCGGTAGTTCTTTACCATAATTTGATCCGGAATTTTTTTTTATGAACCGTTAAGATGGTAAAAATAAATATAGTTTTATGTTAATTCCTCAAAATTTTAACAACTTAAATAGGTCACAAATTCACAATTATTACATTCAGTGGTGTTCACATTTTATTTTTATCAACTACAAGTAAATATATTATTAAAGATAACAAATTAGAGCTTAATAAAAGATTAATAAAATTATAAAATAGCTTTTTGAACCCAAAATCAAAAACATTTGAAAGAAATATAAACCCAAGTTTCCCAATTAGATTTTAAAACGAAATTTTTAATGAATGATTGAGCATTATAGTTAATGATAATTATAATTAAGGTAACTGCTTTTATTATTAATTTTTGTCTCTTTGGTTACACAGTTCAAATAAAACTATCTTTTTGAACAAATATCAAAATTTTAAAAGCGAAAAAGTTTATAAAGAAAGTTAAAAAATTATCATTAATTATGTATTTAATTAACAATAAAAATCAATGTAGAGAAATAACACAATTCTTACAACATACTAACATAAAAATTCATAGCACTATAAATAAATGAGGAAATAAATTTTTTATTATTATTATTTCATTGTAAGATTTAAAACACATTTTGATTATCTCAACTTCTGTTCTATATCAAAATTTTTCATCAATAATACAAATACTTAAGCAAAATTTCATTTATAATTAAATTATAGTTAAAAATAAATATAAATTCGGAAAATCATTTTCGTCACTGTTTCATGGTGAAATTCAATTGTGTGACAATTTTCAATTTGTGACAATTTTTGTTTGGCATGTAAAATTTCCAAAAAAATATATTTAACAATGATATAAACATGAATCCCAAATTTTATTCAAAAACAAATATGAACTTTTATTTGTTCCTTGTTACATTGAATCACATTTTAGCTTGAATAAATATAAATTGTATAAAGTTATTTGTAGCATAGTCTGTTTAAAATAGCCCTACTAAAAAGAACACATCAAATTAACAACGGAAAACAAAAGGTTTAACAACTAGCAAACAGCTACACAAGTATTTTGTGACACTTTTCACTCGAAACGACACCGATAAGCATCAGAGATTCACTCGTATAAATAAATAAAAACATACACCGTTGTTATTTGGGAATTAAAAAAGAATTCCTACTTTCCTCAAAAGGTACATTATTTACTATGTAGTGCAAAAAATTATGCATTTAATATTTCGCAGGCTATTTAAAAAATCTCTTTGCAAACACCTGCAATTATTTTGCAATGCATTAAATTAATTGGGAAAAATCTGCCCTCATTTCGCAATGCGGGTGGCAAATAGGGAAAAAAATCAGTATTTTCTATTCATCCTGATACTTCTTTGGTTTATTACAGTAAGCCCAGATACCTCTTAGCCAATTAAAACAGTACCATTCATTGCTCAAATTGCCCCATTTATTGCATGCAGTTTTCAATAAGCTCTGAAGGCTTATTGTAAATAGCCTAAATAAAGATTTATTCATATGCGTTTAAGCAAATTTAGTCTGATAGAACAATTCTTCACACATCCTAATTAAAATAAAGTGATGTAAGCTGATTGTAATAAGCCTAAAAAATATCAGACTGTGATTAGAAAATACTAACGATTTTTAAAAAAATCTAATAAATATGTTTAGAGTCAGACTTTTCAATTAGTTTATGACATTTCCTTCTTAAAAAAACGCTTAAACTACGACATCTTCTGCTTATCAAAAAGTAATAAGTATAGAAATCATTTAAATTAATTATTAAAATTCGTGATAAATAGTTTAAAATTTAAATACTTTGCGATTAAGGTGTTCTGTATCTAATAAAAGAAAATTCCATTCGAAGAATTTAAATTACACAAAAAAAAACCCTTTTCGGTTGGTATTTTTTAGACTTTTAAGATTAATAATGCATCCCCACATTATTATAACTGAAAATGATGTCCTTTTAATGATAATGAGTTTCCTACTAATGAATATCCATCTGAACAATTATTGACGCATTTTTCATTTTATTGTTGAAGATCTACAATTAAAATACCTTTCGTAAATAAACAAACAAATAAAGTTTTCCTTTACTATACACTTCACACTTTCATATCGAGTGAAAAATAAAAACTGAAAAAACTAGTAATGATTCATGCTTAAGATTACAATACACCAAAACAGACAAATGTGATCACAAACTGTTAAAGACACACATTATTACGAACTCAGCATCTTTAATACAGTGTGAACTCTAAGTGACAAACTTTCATAAAACTGCGTCAGATTATTTAAATTATTTAAATTATGACTTGAGTACCACTAACAATTTTTTTTTAAAAAACAAATGTATAAACCTCTACTGACTGGATGATAATGGTAATTTCTACGAATTTTTTGCGTAAAAATGTATATGACGTATTAAAATGTATGAAATATGTATGCATTTTTTCAACAACTAATAAAAATCATACGAATAAAAACCTTTTTTGCTACAATTTGGTATCCGTTTTTTCATTAAAAATTTTTTTTAATCGAAACCTAAATAGTTTTTTGACAAACATTTATTAAAACTGAAAAGTGAAAAAAAAAACATATTAATGGATATTTTAAAGATACTCAAAATTTCTGGTTTAAGAGCAACGACTGTAAATGTAGAACAGTAATTGATTCTAGAATGTTTAAATATCTGTGAAAAATTTTGTTTCGTTCCAGCTTAATGATACTGCTTACTTACATTGTTAAGTTGAAAATTCTGAGTTTAAGAAATGATATGTTCGACTGCAAAATTTGATTATTAAATTAAATTATGTTGAATCTTTAAATAAAGTGGTTCTGTATGTATATATATACATATATGTATAAGTTCAAAATGAAGAATAAAACAAAGAAAAATTATAGATATATGAAAAAAAAGGGGGTGGGAAATAATAAGTAAAAAAAAAAAACAACAGTTTATTAAAAAAAAAATGAAATGTTAATTAAAAAACCGGAAAAAAAAGATATAATCTTTTCTTCAGCCCAGACGATTATATCCGCAAAACAGAGTGCTTTCTGATATTGTATCAATAAAGCCAAAGCAACATATATTAATACAATAGTGTGAGGAGCACTCAAAAATTTTTTTTATANAACCTGTGTATATATATATATATATACATACAGAATTTTGTCAAATTCTCTAAAATATCTCCTAACGTGCGCTTTTATTATACTTTTCTAATGTAATTTAATTGGTTTTTAACATCAAAACATATGCAAATAATGCATACTTAAAACAATTGTTTCACATATGTGTTTTTTAGGAATGCAGAAATATCAATGCAATTCATGTACCATTTCCTTAAAATCTTGGTATCAATGCAAGAATGGTTACTTAAACATTATGCAATCAGTCAATAGAGGCCCTGTTGACTTATGGCAGCAAGAAAGTAAAAATCTGTCTTGATTTTCAAGCGGAGTAAAAACTTTTAAGTTAGGAAACTATATGAAACTGAAAACTGCATTGAACATAGTTCTAAGAAAAAAAGTATCATGGAAGTTTTAAAAATATTTTTGACAATTAAATAGGAAAAATATTAAGAAAGGGGAAAATATCGTAGTACATTCCTACACAACTGAGAAGAGGAGGAGTGGGAAGGGTAGGGTCAAAACATGGAACGGGTCTTCCTTCCCATATAACGTATTCGAGCGTTGCGATCACGAATAGAAATGAAGTGAAATAAATAACAAACGATTAAAAAATTATAAATTCAATATAGTTAAAAGAAAACGATGCATTTATCGGTTTTGAAACTATTTTTATGACAGGGGTGTGCTGCTAAACCCATTAGGTTTGTTGCTTTTATGATACGCTTAAATAAGAAAGAAGTAAAAAGCGTCGCCATTTTTACACGATATAGCATTAGAATAGAAACTCGTATTTCTCTATGCTTTCGTGTGACACTTCAGGTAGTTTCCTTTTTAGAAGTTAAATATAAATTTCTTTTTTTTAAAACAACATTAAATATTATTCTTCATTAAGCATTTTTCAGCTTCTTTTCTTCCTCAACCATTTACGATATAACTTAAGTTAATTTTGATTCACTCATTGTTGTTCTTTGAAATGTGTTACATGAAAATGTTTTGGTGAGATATTGAAAATCAACTGCAGCATCAATCAACAACGGAAGAGTTGAAACACCAAAGGAGTGGGAGGAGAGGAAGGAAAACTGAAAAGGAATGACTAGAATGAGCCAACTTATTAGAGAGAGAGAGAGAGAGAGCGAAAAGTAAATAATAGATGAAAAATAGATGTCCTACACGAGATCTTCATATTTCCCGGCATAAACAAACAGAGAATATCATCCCGAATATCTGGAAGAAAAAAAATTAACACATTTAATTATGATGAACACATAAATATATAGGCAATTTATTATGAATTTAACATATCGCCCAAGAGTTCCGTAAAGATCGCACTTGATGTGTGTTAGAATCCTTGTCAAAAAAGTATGCGCATAATATTTATGCAAGAAAAAAGAAAGACGCAATCGAAATCTGAAAAACAGTTTTATTGTCTGGTGAAACTTTTTCTAATAATCCTCTCTCAACTTCTTTTTCTTTCCTCAGACAATCAAATAAGTTTTAATGCTTTCTGTTCTGCCTTCTTCAGTAGTAGTAGACAAAATTTCGATCGCACTTTTGCTTCTTCGTCTCGCTTAAATATTAATGTGTTTCCTAATGCTTAAATATTATTAATGAATTGCGAATTTGGAGAAATTCATTGATGAAATTTAGAAATGAAACGTGAACAATTGGTACATTCAATAAAAAAAACTTTTTATTGGTTTTTATTTAACACTATGGTTGCCTAATTGCCCTCGTTCCATGAGAGACTAGACATTTTCGCTATTTCAAAATTATAAATTATATTTATTTTAGCTATACAATTTAGTTAAAAGAAGTTAAATAAACAATTGAAATTCAATAGTATTTTTTTAAATATTAATAATTAACTGCATTAAAATCTATCATTGCGATTTACTAAATTTTTCTGCTCACAGATCTGCAGTTTTACATAACGCAGAGCATCTTGTCACAGCTTTAAAGAAATCTATTGTGAATGTTTGTTTTGATTTTGTGGTCACAGTTAAAATAATATTCCACTACTTTAGCGTTACGGATTCTTGCAAAATCTCTTACTTTTACTTACATAAGTTTGATATACTTTTTCACTGGAGCATTTCCCCAGAACTGAAGCATGCGCACTAGGAGAGCGCATGCGCATCTTACGTACTTGTAATACATGTACGCATACTTGTAATCTTACGTACGGAAGCTAACGAAAATGTGCGAAATCTCCCTATTATAAAAATGCTTTTTACCTCTAGTACTGCGACACCACATCCAATGGCAATGAACAGCATACTTTCATTTCTGAAAAATCCTTCAAGTTTCATTTTACAACCCTGAAACAAAGATGCATAAGTATCGTTAATTTAGATAATTCTTTTAAGAAGACAAAGATGAAAGATACATAGGCTTGGCCACATTACACACAGCAGAGGATAATACACAGAGTGAAACATCCATGCCTTGAGCGCAGAGCCGGATTATACCTTTCGTAGGCCCTAGGCACAGCCGTTTTTGGGCNTGGCTTCGCAGTCAGGCACGCAAACCGGCAACTCACTCACGTTCTCTTGTTTTCAAGCTATCATTATTTATTGGCGATTACAGTTACAAAAATTATTTTTAGTCCAGCTTACTACGCGTTTACTAAAGGTTAATAATTTGAAAATAAAAATTTAGCCTTATAAGTTGCCCTGTATTGTTTCATTTCAATAACCTCTGCTCGCAATATAAAAGCTGGTACTATTCGAGCAGGCGTCCCACCCCTGATTGTGTATCTATTCTGGGCAAGAGAAAGCTGTAGTGCAGCGGAGGAAGAACCTTGTATTTAAGGCTGAACTAAGGATTTACGGGAACCAGGGAAAAATTTATGGCGGGCCCTTTTCCAAAGTTCAAAAAGACTTATTTCCATGCAGTGTTTTCATCATAGAAAAAAATGGGTGAGAATTTCTCACCCTTTCTCAAAAACAGGGTGAGATTTCAAAAAGTTAAGTGAGATTTCTAAAAACTAAAAAAACACAAAAACTCTTGAAAAAAAATAATTTCTTTAATTATATATAATACATTTTTAACGTTTTCTATTTTTTAAAGCATTGAATATTTTTGGTGCATATATTTTTGGTGCATCATCATAGAAGATTTTGCCTTTACAAGGTATTTGTCCATAAAAAATTTGAACGTCTCACATGAAGAAACCTTACCTACGGTAAACACGTGCTTGCAGAGAAATGTGTTCTGAAAGGGGTTCAGTGGTTGTGTTCTGTTGTTCGAAAAGGTTCTGAACAATACTGGTAAATAGGGAAGATAGATAACGGGGCAGATGTTGAAAATAATGAAAGATCCAAAAAGAAATGTGAAACGGATTTTATTCTAAATGGCGTAATTCGAAGCTTTTTCTAAAATCCGAGAAATTAGCGGATTTTGAAATTGATTTATAGAATGCGCGAATTTCTCGCGGTAATCATTTTTCAATGCGAGAAAAGAAAAAAATATGCGAGATTCTCGCGTTCTCGCGCTGTAATGAAAACACTGATAGTGTCGAATATTTGAAGACCCTTTATACAAAACTTAAGTTTTTATAGCTGTAAAGAAATTTTCTGCCATTTTTCTTTCGAAAAACAATAATAAACATTCTATTCTTCGTGAGGAATTTCGATCTAGATTCAACAGTCAACTCTCCCTCTCTTTCCCGAGACCCCAGCTTTGATGACTTCATTTAATTGCCCATAGAGTGAACATGTGTGTACCTGATTTTATCCCATTACTGAAGTAAAACCGGGTGTTTTGACTTTTTCTAGAAAAATAATCATTCATACTTATCGTAAACTGGTGTAAATATTAGTAAACAAATATATAAAATTAGTAGGAAATATCAGTAAGTAGAACAGCTTATCGATTTATTGTACGCAACTTAACAAAGAATATCTTGTTTAAATCAAACACTTCTTTATTATTATCTTATTTAAAATTTATCTTCGTTGAATCAAACAGTTTCGAAAACTTCGAATCTTAGTCCATTTTCGTAAATTTTGAGCTGTGTCCTTTTTTTGTAAACACTAACGGGATTTTATAATTATTGTTCAGTCTCACCATTAAAATAAATGTATGTTAAAACTCAATGAGTTCACCCTTCACGAACTTTTATTCGAAGTTTAAACTTTTTTTCTTTGTTTATATATGCAGGGTGTCCCAAAAATGTTGATAACAAACGTCGGAGGTTAGACGCATCATAAGATTTGCATAATTAAGAATAGCACGGGAATTGCATCCTAATATGAACTGTTTTTTCATTGTGCTTTTGAACAGGTACTTTTATTGATTATTACTAAATTATTTTAATCTCTTGTTGTTGTAGAACAATATGGACCTGGCGGAGATTGTCCTTATTTTCCTGTGGTGCCATCTATGGCCAATAATTTAACTTCTGCCACACCCATAGGTCACACCCGTTTATAGGGCGGACCCATCCATACATCCATTCATTCATCCACAGATCTTAATTTCGACCTGAAACAATTAACGGTCCATCTCCAATTCAGTACACCCAGGGGTATAATTTGTTATGGCAACATGGAGGACTTTGTGACACGACGGATTTAAGGTGCACCAGTCACCATTTACTACAGGGGGAGTGTTCGGCAGTCTGGATTTGAGTGGCAGGCTGGATTGAGCAGTGTTCTACAAACCAGGCTATACCGGCCCAATTTCTTGTTACTTTATGTTCTCTAAGAATATTATTTAAGTAAATAAAAGTACCGGTTCGAAAGTACCCGCAAAAAAAGTTCCAACTAGCGTTTTCGGGTTCTTATGCAATTCTTAGTTATTAGGATGTGCCTCATCTCCTCTTGAAGTGCGTCGTAACATTTACGGTACATTCTGTATATTTAGAGGATTGATCTTTCTCTCTATTTTTATAAATCTCGAAAACGATTCGTCAGGTTAAAAGGGGGTCAGGTTCTACTTTATCTCTCACCTAAGTAATTGCATCATATATTCAAAAACTGAAAATATTCTTCCATTTTTAAGCACCCAAATACATCCCCTAATTAAAAAGTATTGGACATTTATTAATAGGAATATTTGGTAACAAGGATTGGACATTTATTAATAGGAATAAAAAGTTTTTTTAGAGCAATAAGAGACGGCTCTTAACAAGTAGTAAGACATATTCATTTATGAGAAAAAAGGTAATAAGAGTTTACGAAAAATGAAAAATGAATAAATTTGGGATGGTACTCACAGTCTGGTGCCTGTATTGAGAATTGGAGTCCTCCTTCTGACATAAACTCTCGTTGAGGGGTTGAGGGTTAAGATAAGCGTCTGCCTGTTTAGCATTCTTGAGGGTGCAACAAGTGGGACTGACATTCCTCCCTTCACTCCTCTGTTTCCATATGCTGTCAGAATAATCACCCCCATCTCTTACGCCGCAGCAGTTGAACTTTGAAAAAAAAAAAACAAGTAAAATTTTATTTAATCTTTTCTTACATTTTTTCGAACGATAGACTGAAAAACGGTAAATCGGGTAAATCAGACTAAGCGTTAATAGTATATAAAAAAAAAAGAGTGGACGGTACTTTTAGAACTTCTCGGAGAGTTGATTGTTTCCAGACTGAGATTTTGTTTTCTCCAGCGATCCTTTTTAATGTTTCCACACAATATTAATTCGAAGTATTTTTATGATTAATGCATTCAAAGTGACTGTTTTGGACGTCGATTTTAATGTAAATATGAATAATGAAGAAGAGAAAGAATTTTAGGACGTCTTAAGAAACGCTTATTGACTGGAGTTGGAAACCCATTCAGCCTATTGGACGAAAAGAGGACGAACGTCACTCGATGCAGTTTTTGCGAACCATTACTTGAAATGTTGGCGAGTTTATGAAAATCTATCGAGGAAAAAAAAATGATTTGTTCAATGTGTAATAAATAATTTCTTCTCTTTTGCACTTAATCATTAGTTGTTTTTTTTTGTTCCTAGATGATTTTTATTATTTTCAATTTTAAATTTTCATTATTTTTTTTAGTTTACATTACATTCAGATTTCGCGACATCAATTAAATGCTGCGCGAAATAAAATGTACCTTTGTTTGAGCGAAATCCACAGCTTGTGTAAATTGAATCTCAGAACCATATTTTTGTTTAAGTTTTTCTTTCAGTTTACCTTCCATTTCATTCATCTCCTGAAAACAAAACAAATGTATCATCTTTTGTGTTGACAAAGTTTAAAACTGAGAAGGAACAATACTAATTGGAACACAAATATCATTAAAATGAAACTTTTCACTTAAGTATAAAATTGAATTCTAAGAAATGAAAGAACTTTTTTGGCGATTCCAACGATCCTCGAACTGCCTATGTTAGACTATCGTTTCGTTTCGACGATACGTGATTTCTGACGAAATGCGAATTCCTAGACATTTGGGGAGACTACATCGTTATGAAGCCCTGAATTGCCTTCGTTATACACCCTTATTGCATCCAAGAAGTGCTTCGAAATTTTTATTTGTGTTTGAAACCATTTAGCCTGTATTATGGTACGATGTAGAAGAGGGCCCTTCTTATGCGCAATAGGTTTCTTGGTATCGGTTGCGAGGCATACTTGTAAGTTAAGTAATAATTAATAATTCTAAGTCAGCGTAATCTTTTTATTTTGAGCCGTGATGGCTCAGGGGATAGAGCGTTCGTTTTCCAATGCGGCGAACCGGGTTCTAATCCCAGTCGATACGAATTCCGCATCCGGCTTGTACCGAGCACAGTGCTGACGTGAAATATCCTCAGTGGTATCATGGGTTAGAGTCCCCTTGCCGTCAAACTAACCGTGGGAGGTTCTCGTGGTCTTCCACTCCGTGTAACGCAAATTCGGGTTAGTTCCATCAAAAAGTCCTCCACGAAGGAAAATTTCTCCCAATGCTCGATCCAGGAGTCCCCTTGTCTTCTGGATAGGGTTCAAAATTACAATGCTACGAAGTTGAATATTAGTAGCATAAACCCATAAAATCGGGTCGGCAGTTCAACGACGGTTATGAAATAGAATTAAAAAATCTTATGATTATAGTATAGTTTACTGAGGCTCACCAACCCCGATGATTGCTTCACAATGCCTGCTGTTTCTTAGCATGACACAGTTGAAATTATTCAACTAAAAGCATATGTTCTAAAAAGAGCACTTGTTTCGCCATTTCTCACCCTTATGATACCATTAAGATTTATTAATGAATAAAAATCCTTTTTCTAAGTAACCATTTTTTGAATTAAAAGTGTGTTGTTATAACAAATTCGGTGAGTTCGCAACTGTCATTTAATATTTTTTCTACGAACGGATGTGTATTTTAAATACAATATTTGCCTTCATCACTTTGTGCGTGAAGCTGAAAGTTAAGTTCTAAATCATTTAACCCATCTCTTTAAGCACAATTCATAACAGTATATTAATGTAATTCGCACCAACGAATAATAACTGTAAAACGGTTTATAAAGTCAGACAACGATTTAAATAACTTCATCCAAAAATGTAACTTAGAATTACGTTATTCTAACAATAATAAACAATCCTCTTAAAGTAAAAAATGCATAGAAAACAATGAAAAACTGAGACACCATCATTAGATCTTTTTTTTATCTATAGTAAGATTTCCAGTCAATTTGTAATCTATTCGTTTTATTGAGCCTGATTCTGTTGACAAAATCTTTTGCTTCGAACAGAAGGAAAATAGATAATGTTTCAGCTTGAAGAAATGTTCACTCGGAGTATTCCCAGAAAACGGTTTCGTCAAGAATGAAAGAGTTCTGATGTTTGCAGGACTCACTACACACAACTAACTGACGCACACTATCTATCTATATTATATAAAACGCTAATACGTACGTATGTATCAATAAAACCGATGATATTTCTTTTCTCGCGCTGGCAACAGTTTTCATTTTTAATTGATTGGATTCGGCGCGCAAGAGCACGTAGTGAGCATAATATGTCTAATCGGGTGAATTCTCACCGAATTATCAAAAAAATTCTCACAAAATTATCTTCATCGAAGCCGATGCTTTACATCCGGCGTTCAGTACTATTTCATATTGTTTTACAACACATGGTTTTAGCCCTCTGGTGGGAAAGACTTTAAAACAAAACTTACAACAGTTACTTTTCTCAACAACTGAAATTTAGAATAGTGTGATTAAGAAAAATATGTGAACTGTTTGCAATTTCAAATTAATATTGAAATGCACAGGTTTAGAATTTTCTACAGTGAAAAGTTTTCGGAACTTTAGTGTTCAAAAAAGTATACAAAAGCTAGAGACGTTAAGAACGTATCCAATGAGCTGCAAAGTGATTGCGAAGCAATCCGAAATGAACCGCGAAAGCAGTTCCGGGGGTTGGTGAGCGCCAGCGAGCAGGGGGCGAAGCCTCCTAGTGATTGGAATCATAATACCGATTTCATCTTTCTAAATACAAAAATCTAATGATGGTGTCGCAATACTCCATTGTTGTCAATGCATTTTTTATTGACTGAAGAATCACGTGGTGGGATGCAGTTTTCCACATTCATTTTCGTATTGGTTTGGTTGTCATCAGCATAAAACTCATTTAGTATTCTTTTCTTATAAATATTTTTGTGTCCCTAATTTAAAGGTTAACATTTTACTTGTATTGTTGTTATGACGTCTTTTATTTTGTTTGATTTCTAGATGAAGACTTTAGGAGGATTGTTATTATTATCATTATTAGTTCTTCGTTACATTTTCAGATAAGGTTATCTAAATCGGTGTCTGATCTTATTAAACGTTATAATTAATATTTTTGTTGCAAATTACATTAGTATAGCATTGTGAATGTTCGTTATATGATATGGACCATAACTTTCAGCTTCATGCAAAGATGTTATTTAAAATACATCCATCAGTCTGGTAAGCGAAAATATTAATTTACAGTTGTGAACTCACCAAATTCGTAACAACAATACACCTTTTAATTTTAAATGTTTTTTTCAAAAAATGATTACTTAGAAAAATGACATATGTAGATATAAACAGTGTAAGGGAAATAAATATTTGAAAGTGGAGCCACAAGTGTTGTTTTTAGTACATAGATTTTTTTGTAGAATAATTTCAACTGTTTTATGCGTAGATACAGCGATTATTGCGAAGTAATCAGCGGGGTTTGGTGAGCGGAAGCGAACAGAGGGCTTAGACCAACACCTCCTAGAAAAGAGCAGGCCTCAGCACGGGTTACCATAAATATCCTTTAGTAGTCCAAACGTAATGACATATTTCGTATTTTCAACCACTGCGCAGCTTAGTATCCCGAACGCAATGACATCTTTCTTATTTTTCATCTACTGCGCAGTTAACTTCGTCACATCGGACTACTAATTTGATCCGTGATGAGGCCTTCATTCTAGGAGGTGTTGTTTAGACTCCTACAAGAAGAATAAAATTCAAAATAAACCAGCCTAGAGGAAGCGAATTTCTACAGGAAAAAATTCTGTAACCATCAAACCATATGAGTTTTGAGTTGTGCGATACTATGTATTTAAATATTCTTAAAAACTTGAATGAGCGAATGGAACAGTTAAATTTACTCAAAATAAAATTTCTTTTTGTAACTGTGGTGTTCCCCTTCAATATAAATAGATTAGTAAGAGGTGTTTTTCCCTTACCTTATCTTGGAACAGAATCGCTAACACTCCAACAGCCAGTTCAGCAGCAAGAATTATAAACAGGAAAAGGAAGTACTAAAATAAGAAGGAGTCATATTATTTTAATACTGTAATAACATGAAACATTAAAAAAAAAATATGTTTCACAACATTAGTTCGTGAAACATCGTCATCAAAAACCAATAACAAAGAACAAAATTTTTAGGAAAATTAATTAAAATGCCCGGTGGCTGAGCGGTCTGATCGCCGGGTGGCTGAGCGGTAGTGCTTCGCGCTGTCGTGCCACAGGTCCCTGGTTCGGTCCTCGGGGCGGGCAAGGGTGACTCAGCCTTTCATCCCTTCAGTGGGTCGATAAATGAGTACCAAGCATGCTTGGGAACGAAACACTGGGGGTTCCGCGTTCGGCTGACCACCTGACCGGAACATCTGCTCCTGCACAGGTCAAGAAAACTGAGAACTGGGCACAGTACGCCTTGGCCCTCTTGGGCTGTCGCACCGCTGAGTTTTTTATAATTAAAATAAGAAATTATTGAATTTGAAAGCATTTGTTTAAAATTTTGTTAAAGTTTCTTCCTGTTAGTAAATGCGTCTTACAAATTTTGTATTTTGTTTTCGATAAGAAATTGTTCGCTTAATAGAATTTCTTATTTAAACGTCTAAATCGAATAAAAAGTTTTTCCAACATTAAAAAAAAGGCGTAACTCTTACATTATTCGTCGAAAGTTAGGTTATAAATTCAATAACATTTGAATGTGCTTGTCATTTATGCGTCATTGTAGATTTACTCGAATCTTTGTAACCAATACAAAAGGATGTCGGAAAAAAGGGTCAAACAATAAACGCTCTTTTTTTTTAATGAGAATATTCTAAAACAGGGTGTCCAAAAGACGGATACAGCAGTTTCCCTCAGGTCAGAGGGATTTCGAATGTTTGGACTTTTTTTAATAGTTACGATTTTTGAAAACTGTATCATATTTGCATGTAATCAATTACCCATTATTTTTTTCGATGTTATCTTCTATTATTTTTAGGATATATTTAGGTGAAATATTAGTGGGAAAACTGCAAAATTTAAAAAGTATGTACAGTTGGCCAAAAGAAAGTAAAAAAGAAACGAAACACCCTAAATAACTTTTGATATAATTACCGGATTTTCACGTTCGAAAAGACAATCATAATGGCTCAAAGGGGTGAACTCGAGTATGCTAATCAGTGCAGAAGATATTTTAAGTAACGAAAACAGATACAACAAACGTACTTTCTCTGAATCAACACACCTTTTTTTCCCCGAATGGATTCGGATTTCTGCCCCCCAAAACAAAGGGGGTTGTTGCAATCTGGAAAATGGGATTCGTACAGTTTGATCAGGACAGTGATCCAAAGTTTAGGCAACTTAACGTTAATTTTACTCTTTGCGTATTTCGCCATACCTCGAAAACTTTTAAAGTTAATCAAAAAATTTCTTCGTGCTTCCTCTTCTCCAGTTCAGGCAACCCCTTCTGAAAGACAGCTGAAGATATTAGTAATAAGTCATAAATCCAACGTACAGTGCGCAAAATAAAAAAACGGGCGACCCTAAATAACTTTTGATCTAATGATTGGATTTTCACGTTCTAAAACTAAATTTTAAGAGTTTGAAGTGGCAAACTCAAACATGATAATTAATTAGTACAAACGATATTTTAAGTTACGAAATCAGACACATAAATGTACTTTAAGACACATAAATATACAAATGTGCTACTCTAAATAAAACGTATCTTTTTTTTTCTTCACGGATTCAATTTTTGGATGCAACAAGCCGCAATCTGGGAAATAGGGTCCTAATACATTAGTCAGGATAGAGCATCAAAGTTTGAACCCGTAATGTTAATTTTACTTATTGGGTTTTTCGATATATCTCCAGAACTTTTTAAGCGAACCGAAAACAATTTTGCACACAATTATAATTTTTTTTATATAAAGATAATTCCAAGCAAAAAAATCTTTGGTAAATATTTCTTATTATTATATTCAATTATGGTCGAAACAAATTTGAATCGTAAGATGTGTAATTTTTTACATCATTTTAAAGAATGTAATTTCACATGGCAAAGTGCAACATTTCAGCAAAATCAGTCGAATAGTTTCTGAGAAATTGAATTTCAGAAGAGCCAGATACTTAAAATTCGATCGATTTTGCCATCTAAATTTACATTCCTTTGAATCTTATATCTCACAATTTAATCTTACAATTTAAATTTGTTTCAACCATAATTGAATATAATAAGAGGAAATAAGAAATTTTTACCAAAATTTATTTTCAAGTCAACAACAAGTCAAGAGACAAGTCAGAAGGGAGAAGACTTACCACAACCAGCATGCACTTGTTTTCCTGCATAGCACCACAACATCCAAAGAATCCGACGATGAAGACTAATCCGCCGATTAAGATGAGAGCAAATGACAGGTACTGCAGATTTGAGTACTTGTAGTAGTCGTCTGTACTGAATAATCTGAAGAGAGTAGTCTTCTCTTCTTCTATGAGCATATAAATACCGAAGGCTATCAGGGCACATCCTGAAAGCTGACAAAAACAGAATAAAGCAAAAAAAATAATGTTTAATTAAATGCAATAAATTGCTCGTAAAACAACCAAAACTAGAGAAAAGTAACAAACAGTATGATATCGATAAACCTTGCCCACAGTCAAACAATTGTATCCAAGACCCCCTAATTATTAAGAAAGTAGAATATTTTGCTACGCTTAATTTTACTTCCATACTTTCGGAAGGTGGATTATTCTACTATAACTATTTCAACTTTCATAGTTTCTGGAAGTAGAATATTCTACTACTCTTAATTCTACTTCCATACTTTCAGAAAAATAGAATATACTATTACATCTAATTTTATTTTTTTATTCTCTGAAAGTAGTATATTCTGTTGTTGTTGTTGTTGTTACTCATCCCCCTGGTGTAGGAAAGCTTACACAGGATCCAGAAGACCTAGTCTCATGAGAACATCGAAAGTCTTTTCTTTCTCAACCAACAGTTGCCTCCAGGAGGTGTCTAAGCAACTAAGAAGGCTAGCAGGAAAAGAAGAGATAGAAAGTTTTTTCCATTTTGAAATTTCATGCAAAGTGACCACTTCTGAATCTTGCCAAAGCCGATGGTAGAGTCCTGGGGTTTCTGCATTACAGATAATATTCTACTGCACCTCATTCTACTTTCATACTTTCTGAAAGTATTTTACTATAACTACTACAACTTTCATACTAGCAGTCACTTTTCAGTAGTCTGACTATCAAAACTAGAAACCGAATCAATCCTCAGAATTACGTTCAAAACTTATCGCAATAGATGAAGGTCTCAAAGCTGCAATACCTTACACCGCCTACAATAACATCTGGATTTTGACTGATAGTCGCAGCTCCATCCCAGCTCTATCTATTCAGATGGATCTATCCCATAGCTATTATCTCTCCATCTGAAAAACTGGGAAACAATATCTGATAGAGACCCAATTTCAATTTGATCTTCCTAAAACAATTCTCATTTTGCCACGATGTATATTTGCAGTGGATACATTCGTATGTTAATATTAGGATGCTTTTGCTAAAGAACGAGCTGGAATAGTTTGTACCCTTGACACACTAATATTTCTGGAAATCAGTTCAAGAGTAAATTATTTGCTGTTCACTCTTCCTCGCACTCTACTCCTGCACACGACTGGTACAGTGGTAAACAACCCTTGAGCTACTCTGAAGTTTGAGGATGACTTTGATTGCACTATCAAGTGGTCACTCAAAGTGTCTTAGATATTTATTAGTATTTCCAATGGTCAGAGTTACAGAAGGACCTCTACATCACAAAGGCGAGGGGGAGCAAATGAGAACATAAAGAAAAGAAAAACTTAACAGGCGTGGCGAGAAAAGTCTATGAACTCAACCACTCAGACTCACGGGAGGTCCCTTGCGAGGCAGCAAACGGTCGCACAAAGAGGTGTCTTTTAGTGCCGGGCAACGGCAAAGGTGGTCTGCATCTGTTTATTCCTGAAGGTCACAGAGTAAGAAGAAAGGAGCCTGTGCAACATGAATTAGATGAAGATCTTTAAGGAGGCATTCGTGTCCATTGGCTAGTCGAAACTCGGCGACTGCTTTGCGTCTTGACCGCTTAGGGAGATCTTGGATAATATTCCACCAGATCTTTCCGGAATTTCTCTCTGTGATTTGATTTAAAGTAAGATCCTTAGTCTTTTTCTTGATTAGGCGCATAGCGATGTCAAGAGGGACAGCTTTTCTTGATGTTTGTAGGATGGAAAATCCCTGCTTTTCAAGGTTGTCTGAAGACTAGTTACGAGCTAGTCTTTGATATAACAAGAGTAAAAAGATCTTTCTCATCTGAGGATATACTTAGAATTCCATCATCTCCTCACAGAGAAAATTTAAAACAAAGACCTGTTCTCGTTTGGAATTTTCTGAACTGACTCATGAAGCTGGTCTAGTCAATAGGCTAGTCCAGTTAAGCAATAACAACACAGTCCCACTTTCTGGAATATTCTACTACTCCTAATTCAACTTTCATATTTTCTAAAACTAGAATTCTCTACGTCACATAATTTTATTTTCATAATCTATTAAATTAGAATATTCCAGTAATCCAAATTCTTTCCTATTTTTTTAAAAGTAGAATTCCTTTCTTCACCTTATACAGATTTCATACTCTCTGAAAGTAAACTAGTTTACTAGATCTAATTCTACTTTCTTATTCTCTTAAAATAGAATATTCTACAGCACCTACTTCCATTTTCGCTTTCTCTTAAAGTAAGATACTACTCTACTGCGCATCTAATTCAATTTTCACACTTTTTGTAGGTAGAATACTCTACTCCTCTTAATTCTATTTTCCTACTTTCTAAAAGTAGAATATTCTACCACGCCTAATTCCACTTTCTTAATTTCTGTTGGCAGAATATTCTACTAAACCTAAATTTCCCTTTCATAGTTTCTGAAAATAGAATATTCTGCTACACCTAAATCTACTTTTACACTTCCTGAAAGTAGAATACTCAACTTTAGCCAATTCCACTTGAATATTTTTAAAGTAGTCGAGGGCCTTGGTTAGTTTTTTGTTAATCTTCCTGACCAGTACAAACTGCTGATACCTAGATAGCATTTTCATGTACATAAAACTTCATAAATTATCATTTGTTATTATTATTTTTGAGAAAAACATTACACGCAATGTAACATTAAGTCTAATATTTGATTAATAGTATTTGTGCAATTCAAAAATGTATTATATGAGGTTTCTACACACGTCATTTGGCGACGCTTTAGGAAAGTTAAAACCGTTTCAAACTGCACTATCATGAAGATAAGAAAGATGTATGCTTACCCAGAATATAAGATTGAAAGCGATGAGTACACCTTTGGCACATTTGGCACCACAGCTGAGAGCCATTTTTAACCTCGCTTGATTTCCTTACCTCTCAGCAAAATAAAATAACACCTGAAACGGAAAAAAAAAGAATATTATTTTTGATATAAAAATTAAGGTTTTTGACGCATTTCACATATTATGTATTTAACACGCCTAAATGTTTTTCAAACATCAATAAATAATTGAAAAAAAATATTACCAAGTATATTCTTTCTTTTGCAAAATAATAATAATAAATAAAATAAAATGAATCAGACAAATATGAAGTACTCTCTCTTATATTTCGTCATTTATGTTCTCGCTTTCAATGTCATTCAAAAATAAATAAGGTTATATTCGTAATGCTAAACAGTACAAAAAAATTATTCCTTTAAACTTTTTTAATATGAAAAATAAATTACAAAACATTTTCGAATTTAATAATTATCCATGATTTATATTTTTGCTAGAAGATATCAATAAAAAGCTAGAAGATATCGATATCAATAAAAGAATAATAGTTTTATTTTAATAAGTTAACTAGTTCTGATCACACACAGGTTTAATGTGTTCTCCGGATCGTGAAATACTTTTTTTTATGATTTTTTTGCTTAATTCAAGATTTTATAATATATTCTATTCAGTTTGGAAATTAGTTTCATATAACAAACTGCATTTACTTAGTTTTTACATAACACTAAAGAGCTAATATTTCACGATTAATTTAATTTTTTAATGTGCGTATATGTTTACTATAATTCTCCAATCATTGGCACGAATTCTAAAATACAAAATGCTAATAGTGGGTACAGAATTTTACTTAGTTACAGTAACAGATTAGTAAATCATGCGTTTGAAATACAATACGTGTGTTAAAATCTTAAGTTCTTTTTGCAACTTGTGATATTTGTGTTTGATGAGTCCAAATTCACTTACCTTCATGGAACTGGCAGCGAAAAAGAAGACAATGTTTCCTGGCTCGTACCCCCCAAACATCACTGGTACCAGAGCACCCGTCCAGGAGGTGCACTCAACATTCGGTGCAACCGCAAGGATCAGACGGCGCTTACCAGCAGCCACCTAAAGTCTCTTTCTTTCGAGGGTAGTGTTAAAATCTTCCCAAACTGCCCCAGGTGCCACAACATGCAGGCTTCTCCCCAACATATCCCGGACAGGACAAGAAGGACATTCTAGAAAACCCACTTTTGATGGGTTTACAATACAGGATACATTCAAACTTTAATTAACAGTATGCCAAATAGAATATTTTCACTTATTAAAGCTAATGGAGGTTCCATGAAATATTAACTGTGAATGAAATATTATTAATGTTAAAATGCAAAGGTTTATTTATGATTTATTTTTCGCATGTATAAATTAGATCATATGCATTTATGTTTATTTATTATAAAATATTGCTTAAATTGCGCATATTTACCAAAATGTAACTCAAATGAACATTTAAAAATGTAAATAAAAAATATTTAGTAACTCTTATTCCTTTTTTTAAAATTTTTTTTCTAATAAATAGGAATGTACTTACAGTTAATTTACAGACAGTAGTTCGAACGTTGCAAGGGTTTTCTATTTAAAAGATTTAAAATTTTTGTCTTGTATTTAAGTACAACTTTAACATTGTTATATCAAAGCTATCTGGACAAGAAAGGTATTGTTTCTTTAGTTTTGTTTTCTTTATTTATCTTTTCTTTATTTTTCTTTTCTTTATTTATCTTTACTGTTTTTTTCTTTTCCTTATTCTACTTTCTTTTTCTTCGAATTGAATGAGATTCATATTTAAATGGATAGGTTAATAATTAAAAGTCTATATTAATACAAGTTAAAAATTATACTTTTTATGCATAAAACTCCCTGTGAATTCTCAATCAATGTGCATGAATAAGTACAAGTTCAAAAATATACTTAAATATTAAAACTTTTAAACTATTAATCATATTGTCTTTGATTTCCCATAAGAAATACACAGGAAATATGTATCCCACTTGTATTTCTTATTGTAAGTATATACCTTATGGCTATTAGATCGAAAGTGTAAAACTGTGGTTTTTAAGAGTGAAACCCTTTGCAATTCTTGAACTTTTTGTTCTATTTCATCTCATTCAGTGTAAAAAAAAGCACAGAAAACAATACTTCATTTTCCTATAAAGTATGCTTATAAGGTAAAGATTGTTAAGTATAGGTAAAGATTGATACCTATCTAAATCTTTACCTATCGAGATTGCGAATTTAGATGATTAAATAGTTACGGGCTTAAAATTAAACTTTTTATGCACAGAAGTCTTATATCTTTTTTTCTATTAATCCTGTCGTCTTGGTATCAATTTTATTCCATGATACGTACAAAAACTACACCAGGAATAATACCTTAAACATCTAATATAATATAATAATATAATAACTCACATACACTACCCCACAATAATGGAAGAAACACTTTCACTTTTTGGCCTTTTTTTTTTTAAATTTCCGAAAAAATACCCAGAGCATTATTTTGTGACTTTAGAGTTGTTTAGTTCATACGATTTTTCATACTTTGTAAAAAAATATTTAAGGCTTTCAGAAGTTTGAGCAGCCGAAAATAAATTATGAAAGAAGACTAGTATTTTTAAACACCTTAAGCTAGAAAATAAAGAAATAAGCTTCTAACTTGTATTATTATTATTTGCAACAGTTGCATAAAATTTCGTAATTCTATCTTAAATATTTTTAGAGATATGGACATTTTTATAAAAGGGAGTTTTTTCGCCTTCCGTTTTCTTGTTATAACTCTTAAAATATTCATTAAAAGTAAACCAAATTTTTGGAGCTATTTAAAATTAAATACAATAATTTTGTTTTAAAATTTGAAAAAAGTTTGCTTAAAACTACACAAGATATGAGTATTTAAAGTAATTCTTTTGTACTGAGCATGCACGAATTGTATTTTTCTTTCTGCATAATTTTGTAGTGAATCGTACTTGGCAACTAATGAAAAAAAGTCTTACCTGAATATTTTAAAAATGTAAAAGGTTTCGAGCGATTTTCTATGTAATTTTTGTACTTTTTAAAATAAAGCTCAAAATAATCAGGAGTTTTCCTCAAATTTTAATTTGTAGTATTGGAAATGATCCTACCGCATAAAACTGGGTAGCCAGAACAAAATAAAATTTGTGAAAAACTTCTGACCAGTTTGAGCTTAATTTTAAAAAGTACAAAAACTACACCAAAAATTGCTTTTCATTTATTGACAAATACGACACTACAAAATAACGAAAACAATTTTTTGAATTTTTTTCGTGTATGCGCAGTACAAAAGATATACTTCAAATTCTCACATCTTGCGTAGTTTCCAGCGAACTATTTCAGATTTTAAAACAATATTTTTGTATTTAATTTTAAATTGTTCAAAAAATTACGTTCAATTTTACGGAATATTTTTGAAGTTATAACAAAAATTCGCAGAAGAAAAAAATTAGTTTTCTATGAAAGCGTCCGTATCTCTATAAATATTTAAGCTAGAATTATGAAATTTTATGCAGTTGTTGCAAATGATAATTAAAGCAATCGCTACAAGTTATAAGTTTATTGCTTGATTTTCATCTACGGGGCGTTTAAAATTACTAGTTTTCTTTCGTAATTTACTGTCGGCCCCTCAAACATCTGAAGACTTTCAACCATATTGCAAAGCATGGAAAATCACATAAGCTAACCATCTACAAAGTTACAAAATAGTCCTCTGAGTGTTTTTTGAGAAATTTAAAAAATTGGCGAAAAGTCTATTCCATTACGTGCAACCTCAGCTCCTTTGCAGGCTTATTAAAGTGATCGCCCCTCACCCGCTCACTGACCGCTGCCCCAGTNTATTATATTTCTCTATGAATCAATTGAGCTGATAAAATTTTTTTATAGAATCGGTAGACACATTTATCTAAAGATAACTAAAAGCAGAGTATAAAAATTTTTGGAAAATGTTTTTAGTAAAATCTGATTTTTTTTTCTGCATTTGTTATTTAAAACAGTTAAATTAAATCATAATTTCAATCGTGCATTTTGACAAAAATCTTTGATTTAAATCCTTCGTTTTTTTTTAATTTTTAAGTAAATTAACTTTAATAAAAAATTTATATAGTATAATTTGTTAATATATTCTTAAGGCTGAAAATTTAAAAAAAAAATCCTGAGTATATTGATATTGAAGGTACAGAGAAATAATGAGAGTATAATGAATATAAATTAATATTTGGTGTCCAAAATTGATTAATAGATTTAAAAAAAACTATATGTGAATAAAAATCATGTAAAATTTTTAAATTATGACTTTTCATTAGCTTTATTTTTATTTATATTCATTTTTTTTCATTAACGTTTTTAAAAAGCCGTATATTCAAATTTGATAATAATAATAATTCTTACATAATTTATTCTACTGATCTCGTTCAAATTTTGCATTCTGGCTTATAAAATTATATTAAAATGATGTTAAAATTTGCATAGCTAACATTTCAAAAGTTTTCGTCTATTATTAAATAAAATAATAAAAAGAAATACTTGTAAAAAATTATTCTTATTAAAACGAATAAATGATTGTTAATTTATTATTTTCATGAAATTAGTTCTTGATAAATGAATGTTATAATTGTGTACCAAACTTTTCTCAACTCGCTTAAAAAGTTCGCTAGCTATGGTAAAAACCGTAAAAAGTAAAATTAACATTTCGACCTTTGTCTTGAATAAATTATTGAGACCAAATTTGGCAGCATGCGATCATCCAATATAATTTGAGGATAAGGAATACAAATTCGTTGAATTGCAGATATGTTTATTCAAAGAAGGGACGTTTTTGCTTCTTAACTTAAAATGAATTAATTAATAAGCATACTTGAAACCTCCCCCTCTAACCCATTTAGATTGAGAACGTGAAGATTCAATCATATGATCAAAAGTTATTCAAAGTGTTTTTTTTTTGGGGCACTGTATGTTAACTAGTTTACTCTTTAACGAACATGTTTCATCTATACTCATTTAGCTTTATGTATATTTAAGTAAGCACTTTTAAAACTTATTAAATATGTAGTAAGTGTAAATTATTAATA